GGCCGAAATAAAATATACGCGATATAAGACTTCTCGAGATGCTCGATCGACGGCGATAAATAAATTAAACCGGATTATCTTTATTTATAATACACACAATATTTTAAAATAATAATATTAATACTAAAAATATGCATTTAGATAAATAGTTACAATTTGACAATTAATAATATTTAGACAATTAATATTAATAATAGCAATATTACTAATAATAAATAAATAAATAATAGCAATTTGACAGTTAATAGCAATTATAATAATAATAATAATAATAATAATAATAATAATAATAATAATAATAATAATAATAATAATAATAATAATAAAGACAATTTAATAATAGCAATAATCAATAATTATTCTCAAATAATCCATAATCAAACGGGGTATTACAGTGTGAGACTCGACAGACCGGAAATCCTTATTACTCCTGCTAAATATTTCCAAACTACGATCAAACACTACTTTTTTCTGCATCAATGGCTATTCAGTTGAATTCAGCTTGAAAAACTGAGAACTGCCTCCTTATAATTCAGGCTTTTGCATTTAAACTTCAAGTAGAAAAGCTAGTATAAATTGTTCTATAGTAATTAAGGATGTAAAGGAGTCATATATGATGATTTCCAAGTTTCTTTGAACTACATTTGTAACGTCGAAACGTGAGTAAGGAGTTGTCCAGTCATTAATCAAATCGTGTTTGAACAAAGGTTTGTGGAGTTGAACTTGAGTACAACTTGGTACTTCTACACTGATACACATCTTATATTGTTTTACTCGAACATCGGATTTGCATAAACAATTGCAGGTTTGAAAGAATTCAACACTCGATACAAAAGATCCGATCCTCCAAAAGGTTATGACAAGAGCAGAAAATTATCCAAAGTGGCAGAAAATCCCATAAACCACCAACTAAGTCGAAATATTTCACATATAACTAGACCCTCTAACACAGAACTTCTTCTATACTCGTAAGGAACAAGCAGTTCAATAAATACAATCCTTGATCTTCATCCTGTCCTTGCCCAACTTCCTCTCACATCTAATCCAAATCCCATCCTTTCTTGGAGGGCAATTTTGTCAAACGCGGTTGTATCCAACCGACTTGCTGAACAAGCCACGTATGTACACAACCTGAAGCCCACTCACAACTACTAGCAAAAGGTATTCCCCGACGGTGTAGAATATGACGCGTCTTCTCGTGCTTTCATTCGCTGCGCCAACAAACACTCTCCGGCATTACTTAATAAACAAAATATATCAACATTATAAGATGAAGAAAAGCACAAAAAAATATCCAACCAAATGTTGGTGTCACGTTTATTATTGTCTCAAGAAATACAGAATGACAAAGCCCATCAACCAGCATTATCTGCTATATATAGTGATAAAATTAAAAAAAAAAAACTAAAGATACTTTTATTAATTTTCCATTTTTAGATAAAAAATTAGTATAATTAAATTCAAGAAGGTTGATTGCACCCATCCAACTGCATTAGGTGTTTTCCATTTCTTGGATAGGTTTATGAGAATGAACACTCAAAAAAGTTTCTACCATATTGGATTGTATGCACAACATATATAAACCAATTAAGTTGTTTAATTTACTTTTGAGTCCCAAAGTAGATATAGTTGAAGTTACCGAACACCCAGAATGTAATATGACCTTCAAGAGAATACACTAAAATTGGGAAAGGTTAAAATATAAAAACAAGAAAGGAAAAAAGAAAAATGAAAAGAAGGGTCTTACTGCGGCGGTGACGAGCATCACGTGCTTTCAAGTACTTCTGCTCAGCAGTAACAGATCCCAGCGCCTCCCTCAATTCAGCAATTTTAACATTAACGGGGTCCAAATGCTCTGTAATTGTAGCAACAGGCGGGTAAAAGAGAAAACCATCATAAATTTTATTATTGAAGTATATATGCATCACCAATGTCAAGAAAGCAATAATGTCGGACATACCATCCTTCGCCAGGTCATGTTCAGTAGGTATATGGCCAACATGAATGTGGAAAGAGACTGTTTCTGGTGTGGAATAAGGATTATGGAAACAGAATTTGTACATTCCACTTCGAGGAGCCTTAAACTCGAATTTATCTCCGGATGTTCCTTTCAATGTGTGTACATTATTACCTGCAGGAGATGTCACCTACATCAAGAAGCACATCGATCAAACAATGCGAAAATCGTCCATCACTTTGAGCAACCGCTCTCATCTAAAGTAAAATAGTAAAAGTACTACTATGCATGCAAACACCTACTAAGTTGGCTCCCAATTCTCTCCTAAAAGAAGTCTAAGTTCCCTAAGGATAAATATAATAACTTTTTTCACTAAGCAAAACAAAATGTAAGTTCTGAATCTGAACACACAAGCACCAAAAGAAACTACAAGCAAAATACTAAAATGTAAATTGGAATTGAGCGAAGTTATCCATCCAATATCCTAACTTTTGTATATGGCCATCTGCCTTTTTTTCTCATATCTATTATGCTTCTTGCTTCATCTCTTGCTTATGAGAAGAAACAATACCAAGCAGTCGGATGTGAATTAGAAAAACAGATTTCAATCGAACCCAAGTTAATAAGTCTGGTTCAGAAAAGTGTACTTTTCAGTCTTCTAATCAAAATTAGGTATCTTAATTGTTTGATGGAGGAGAATGATAATGTCGAAAAGCCCTTTGGTTTTGCAAATGAGTCAGCATGTTCAGGAGGAAATCCAGTGTGTCGGTAGGTACCAAACCATTAAACATCAGTACAAGCTAACTAAATAATGCTGACAAATCCCATTAATCAAAACAAATGTAAACAACTCCATATGTTTTTTATATTACAAAAAGAAATCAATAAAGCAAGAACTTAGTATTCCTTACATCCCCAAGGTAATGCAGAGTACAAATAAGATGTGGCAAATAGAGCACCACGTTGCAAAGGTTGCTATGATTATCCCAAACTTCTCACTTCCTCCACAATTCAAAACTAAAACAATCACTTCGAGCCACAACTATTTGTAAGAACTCCCTACATCCTATAATCACTCAGAGAACTAAAGAACCTATGGTTTAATTAAATAGTGGATCCAACTATAATAGCAAGTAGCATTGAATTTAACGTTAAGCGCAATATCTCTTCGAAAATAATTTTAACACTTCACGAATAGCAAATTCGACCTTCCAACTATTAACGCATATCATCAAGAAATAAATAAATCATCCAGAGGATAAATGAGCAGAATACATCAATATTTAACTGGAAATAGTTGCAAACTTATGTCTATTACCCAAAAGCCAACACTTAAATTGCTCTGGACAGCCTATATTCAAAATATCACCAATTAAATCCTTTAAAAAATCTCAAAAAAGATAAAGCAAAAAGCGTTCAATCCCCAAAGGTGACCACGGACTTCAAAGTTGAACTATAAGGGAAAACCACTATCGAACGTATAATCTCCACCGTCATAGTTAATAGGAACATATACTATAGCTCAACCACTAATTTTTATGAACAAAATTACTCTTCTAAGCCGAAAAAAAAAAAAAATCATTTTT